TCTCTCTCTCTCTCTCTCTCTCTCCAAATCTATAACAGACTATCATACAGAGTAAAACCACACTCATCAAGACTTTTGTAATGCATGAACGTCCGGAAAAAGTATAAGCTACTGCATTTTGAACACATTTAAGATAAGATCAGATAATATAAGATAAGCTTTATTGGTCCACGAGGGATATCTGTGTGGATATGTTATACACGTACCACAACATTAACGTAATACAAAGATTCAGCTTTAACACGAAAATGCTGGTAATCCCTAAATTTGTTTTATACGTTCGTATTATAGACACAAATAAAATGGAAGTAGAAAGGAATCGTATCCTTTTTTTTTTTTTTTTGGTGCTCATAATGCTCTCGTGTTTTATTCTTCGCCATCAACGTGGAAGAATCACTAAAAAAAACAAACAAACAAAAATGCCGAAGAAAACAACTACCGAGTGTTAACAGCACCCACGACATTATTCTATTTATATTACCCGTAAAATGATCATCGTAGCGACAACAGTGTCGGGACCACAAGATCAGAACATCTCAATGACACAAACTTTGATATATTTATAATATTAATCATCATCATAAACAAATTTTGAAACACATTCAACATACTTTTTTCTAATCATTTAAAACAATAATCGCCAAACTGTTTTGTTTATTTTTCAAAGTGGACCGGATAACTGAGAGAATAATATCAAAAGCGGGTCAAGCAATGTTATATTATTGTTCACAATACAGTACCGGCACACAGAACAGAATAAAGACAATAAAGACAACCAATCTATAAATTTATTGATACACAAAATACAAACGACATTTTAAAATAAAGACAACAAAAATACTTATTATTTTATGGTAGAATCCCCATGTGCGAGCGACAGGTGACGAATTGCTCCGGAAATGAGTTAATTAAATGAAAGATTTATCCAGCAAGAGTGTGATATCTTTGTTGGAAGTTATGATGAAGTGTAAATCGGTCGAAGTACGTTTAATTCGACTTGTAGGCTTTCATGAACTTATTAGATAAGAATCATATTATTTTGATGGTCAATTTCTGAGCACGCAACTAACACATCAACCATTTACTTACGGTAGTTGTTTTAGTTGTTGCTGTTGTCGCTGTTGTTGGTGGTGGCGTTGTTGTTTGTTGTGGTGGTGGGTTTGTTTTGTCTCCCCCTTCTCCTTCGTTGGTTTGTTTGTTTGTTTGTTTGTTGTTGGGTTTTTGTTGCAGGACGGTGGGCCAGATGATCTGACCTCTGACGCTAAATCTTGGCTCTGTGTCCTTCGGTTTCGGCGAACTTACTGCTTGTTAAATTGGTCTCGGTCGCTCGGCGGCCTCGTCTGCGTCTTCAGAATCTGAGTGTGAGCTGTCCGAGTCCATGGATTCCATGCCTGAGTCAGACTCTTCTGTAGAATGTATCGCACGAGCACTTCCCTCACGAAGTACGCATAGTTGCTCTCCGATCAGCCTGATACTATCAAATGTAGCATTCCTTAGTACGTCAAGGGCTGAAAGCTGGTTTAGGAAATCGGCCTTCCTCTCCTCAACGAGCGACCACTCGATCTGTACTTCACCATTTAGAATAGCATGAACTTCCTGTTATTGAGAGAAAACGTTCTTTTCGTCTTAGGAGTGTGTACATTAAAATAATTATTAATCAATGGTTATTTGTGGGAACCCATGACAGGAACGGGGAAAAACCCCAGATGACACATACTCTATCGATCCTTGCATAAATAAGTTAAAGAAAATGGCAGTGTGCTTTCACAAACTTTTTCGACACAAAATACACATATATACATTGTACATACATACCAT